TCACTTTTTCCTCCGATTCAACAACATTCAAGTCAATAACTATAACTTAGTTGTAAAATAACACTTTGACGCAAGCACAAATTATATTGAAAATGCAGAAACCGGAATCATAAATTAAAAAACCGAAACAATCAAGGAACGCAATAAACTTCGGTGGATCCAGAATATGCAGCTTGAATTAAGAAGTTGTCAACAACTGTACATTTAACAATTTTGAAGAAGAAACTCGGTTGACAGAAACTCAAATATACCATCGAAAATAAAAACACTTTACAAGAAAAGATACGCTAGCGGAAAAATTTTTAGGCTGTCTAAACTGCAAAAAAAAACATGCAAATACATTAAATTCTTGAATTTAAGTCGAGATATATAAACCATATATAAAATCAGTCGAAAGCAGACACAAAATGGAAAAAACTGATATTTTTTCTGAACAAATTTTCATTTAATCTTAGCTTAGATGGAAAACTTATCAAAAAGCACTATCAAAACAGAAAAAAAAACTTGAAAATGTGATACAGAGGCGAAGCAGAGCTTCGCATCACTTGCCATACAACACAAACATAGAAACATCGAAAAAATGAATTATGTTGAAAAAACTAGGTCTATCAAAACTTAAAAATAGAAGTTCAATTTAGGCAAAGATGTCAGACATTTGGACATTGAATTCGCAACGAAACGAAACTTGCGAAGAGGCAACAAGGCCGACAATCTTTTTTGAGCAGACAAGTGTACAGCAATTGAAGTTGCACCTTCAAAGAAATTTCCTTACGAGCAAGAAAAATCTGTGATGAGGCAATTAAGCCGACAATCTTTGAGCAGACAAAAGTTGAGCCAAAAGAACTCAATTGCATACATAGTAAAAAAAAACAAGGCCCGGCCGCGACTGAAACCTTAGCGTTCAAAGTCGATGGGGTTACCTCTAGGTCAAGTGGGAACGAACCTGGAAGTTATTAAGATTCTATAATATAGCAAGTTGAAAATCTGTGAGAAAAATTGTTTACCAAAAAAAAAGTTTAACTCCCGATTACAAGACAGTTGCTCACGCAAGTGCAAGCACTAAAGCTTGAACGGTTCATTTTAAGCTGCTTCTGAAATTCTCAAAAATAAAAATTTCCCAACACTTTGAATCGATCCCGAGACCTCCAGATTAGTAGCTGTTGTTGCCACAAGAATATAATCAGTCGTTTTTTAGTAATTGGTAGGATAATTTGAGTCAGGCTATTGACATTAGTATATCAATTTGATATTACAAACTCTTCTTTCGAAGAGAGGAAAGGAACTTTGGATTCAGGTAGTTTCCTTTCCAGCCAATTTAGACTACCTCAAAGAAAGCTCACAGGAGTCAAAAGTTATATCATAGAAAAAGCCTTTTGGTGGTGATTCGGATACCAAACAAAAATTTAAAAAAGCTTTAAAAAACTGGCAGTCAAACTAGAGGGAAAATGAAATAATTTAAACTTGATTTTCTTATTCGTTATTTTATAAGGAATTTTTCTCCACTTTTGAATTTCCTTTCTTAAATCATCTACCTCGAAAATTTAATGCTACTTGCACAGCAACCAGCTATCATTTACTTGCCAAGTTTCATTGATAGTTATATCGCGATTGATGGGAGGGGATGTTGTATTTCTTTTAAGAATTTGTGCATGCATAAAAAATAGCTTATGAATTTGAGATGGTCCGCCAAGATCTGTCTGTTATTTGTAACTATCTCAGTGGATCTTTCTAAATTGTCTTGCTACATTTGCATTAATATTCAAAAAAAATTTAAATCGGCGAGCATTTAACGATGCAATCGAACTGTGCAATGATATGTGCATGAATTGAATTGGAAAAAGGCTCGTCCATTCATACATAGCTCAGCTTGGTTGAACAATCAGACACAATTTTCAGAGAATTGTTTTGACATAATCACGGTGTTATAATTTCTCTAATAACACTTCAATTTCGTAATTTCTTCCTAGCCCAGCTACTTAATAATCGTTACCCGATCAACTCGCAAAAAGACAATTAAGGAAAAGCGACAGCTCGTAAGATTTGAACATCAATTTCGGTTAACGGTCTTTTGTTCCGAGTTGTTTTACTTTGCGATTTGCCGTTTTACATTAATAACCTAGCAAAAAGTAGTGTTTTGCATGTTATTAATATGTATTTAATGCCAAATTATTGGCAATATCGATGACTTTGAGCAATTTCATCTGTCAAAAACTAAACCTTTTTAGGGTTAACTAACTTTTTGGAAACGGTTTTTACGTGTTGAAATTGGTGGGAAACTAAAATGAGCAATTTTAGATTAATAAACCCCCTTCAGATTCGTTGACTGAAAAGGATAGTGCCAACAATTTGGCATTAACTATATAATAGATTGATTTTATTTAAGTCAGTGACATCGTCAATAAGTGGCTGGTATAAATTTTTGTTCTATTTTTTTCTCTGTTTTGCAATTTTCTTGGTGCTGTTTAGCATGAATGAGTTTGTTTGCACTATCGGGGACAACTTAGAAAGCAACTAAATTAAACGTTGTAGTTCTTTTTTCAACTTTTAAGTGTATTTTCTCTTGTGGTGCTGTAATAGACGTATAAATAATGTTTTACTAAGTGTACTTACTTTGTTTCTGGTAGACCCTGAAAAGGCATAGAAAAAATCATCTAACCCCTCCGTATCATAAAATGTCGTCACTCACTATATGTATGATTGGGGTTAGGAAATTGGACGACAAGCAAATTATACGTGACCAACAAAAACGAATGTAGACGTTAAATTGTTTTTGCAAAACTAGCATTTTAGACGGAAAGCAAAGGGCTAACAAAACTTATTGCCCAAAACAAATTTTCATATTTACAAAAATAGTGTATGATCCCATTGCATATCAAATATATTTATCACAATTGATTTATAAAATGTTAATTTCAAGATTATAAAACATTTTTGAAATGCATAAATTATACAACTGCGGCATGTGAAAAATGCGATGTGAAAATTGCGAAATGTGAAAAGTTGATTTGCATTTCAGAAAGCTGAACGAAAGTTAATTGTAGTCTGTAAACAAATTTCAGACACGAACAATACAATTACGTCAAATTTCCCATATTTGTAATTTTGCATCGACGTCCAAAATTCGTTTTTGTTGGTCACGTCTAATTTGCTTTTCGTCTAATTTCCTAGGCCCCATGTATGATATTTGAGAAGAAAACTTTTTCTTTCTTTTCTCGCATACAATGGATCTTCTTTCCGCCCTATCTAAGGTACCTCATGGAAAAATGGAAGGTGTTAAAAGCGGTGTCAAATTAAAACCCATTGGCCGTAATTTGGATTCCAAAAAAATGTCAAGAAAAAATGGAATATCTAGAATATCAGTCAATTGTCTTCGTAACTTTGCTATAGTGCCTTGCTGTTTTAACTTTTGACCACACACTCTAATAGTAAATACCAGTTAGCACTGAATCGTTTTACTGAAGAGATTTAAACATATGCTATTAAAAAATATAGAGTTTGAGCAGTTCAGAGATACTAGCGTGTAACGCGCCTCCGGTGCTTCGAATTTTTCACAACTCATGAAAAACCGCATATATTGGAAACCAGATCTGCAGGCTTTTACTGCACTCTGACAGCACCCAATTATATGGTTGGTAATTTCATATTTTATAATTTTTTTAAATTCCTATTTTCCGTCAAATCTCGAAAACGTCAAATCTGAGTAGCCATTTTTAGAGGCCAGATTTAGAACTCCAGGGAGTACTCTAGCAGCACCCTATTACAGGTTGGGATATTTCAATCTAGTGAATTTTTCTAAAGGATATGGAGTTTCAAATTTTCAAAACAAAATTTGATTCACTTTTTGAAAAAAAAATCACAAAAAACGTCATATCTCGAAAACTTCAAGGATTTGAGCAGTCATAATTGGAGCCAGGTGATATAAAAAAGTGATAGTAAAGATAAAAAAGAACGATAGAAAAAGAAAAAAACAGAAGATAAAAATGATAGAAAAAAATTAAAAAAAGATAGGAGACAGAAAAAAGACAAAAAAATGGAAAAAAAGCTGGAAAAAAAGAAAATATCAAAAAAGAAGGCTCGAAAAAAAATAGAGAAACCAGATTAAAAAATTGGAGACAACCGTTTGACAGTAAAACTACTTTGAGCTGAATCGTCGAAACCAAATAGAAAATTAAAAAATTAGGAGACGGGTAGACAGACATAATCAAATCATTTAAAGCAAGTATACAGACAGACAGACAGACTTAATTTGGCCTCGAAAAAATTACTGAAAAACAAATGACCTTGCGGAAAACTAATTGAAAAATTTTCTCAAGCATTGCAATATATGATATAGTTTAATTATGAAAAAGTTCTTTCGTTAAACATGCAAAACTATTATGCTTAAACATGGGAGATAGCTGTCACTCGCATTTAAATATAGTATAGATAGATATAGATAAAGATAGATAGATAGATAGTTGTGCGATATAACTCGCATAATAACACAATCTCAAAGAAAAAAAACTCCATGTTTTTGATTCTTCCTATGTTAATCACCTTTAAAAAGAACACTGACTCTCAGTACTTGCTTCAAAGATTATTCATTAATGATTAACCATTGGATTAATAAATTATCCCAAAAAAAAATTAGCGAAAAAATATTTAAGCTAAAATTGTAACTGACATGGTTCTCATAATGCAACTCACTCGCGCGTATCTGAATTATTTTATGTTACCTGGATTTCCGCAGAAACAACTTCCAAGTTAACAGTTATTCTCCAACAACAACCTTGCACGGCATAAGATTTGTGTTTAAGATAGCGGATTATTAACGTATTTTAGATCTTTTCAAGTCATTTATGATAATATTTCAGCCAGAGTACGTAAGTTACTCCAGGTGGCTTGATGACCTAGAATCGACCACTTGACTTATTTCTGAGAAAAAGTACCGCGGAAACATCTTAATTCATCAGATCAAGTTTAGAATGATGAAACAAAATGGAACACAAAATGTAAACATTTTATCGGTAACTCTTCTGGTATCTGGCCCTGGCACCAGGACCTCCAAATTTTTTGGGTTCTCGTCTTCTGGGGTCTGCCACCAATAGAGACTTGTCATACATGATGAGTTGTTTCCTGACCATTTGCTTTTTGTTTTCATCAGAAACTTTACCAGTATACGCCACAAGAGCCTTGCCAATAGCTTGACGAATTGCATAAATCTTCGCCACGTGTCCTCCGCCGTTAACTCGAACTCGGATATCTACTTTCGGGTAGAGGCTGACAGCTGTCAGCAACCTGATTGGTTCAAGAAGTTTAAGTTGCAGGCATTTAGGCTCGATCATGTCCAGAGGTCGTCCATTCACTCTGATCATACCAGTGCCTTCCTTGCAGTGTGCAACAGCTGTTGCTGTCTTTTTCCGGCCAAAAACTTGCACCACGTTGGCATTTGCGGCTTGAGGTTGACTCATTTTGACTCTTAAAAATATCATCTAATATTGATCTCCGCAGAAATTGATTTTTGTAAGTGCTAATAGAACCTTACAAAATATCAGCTAAAATTATGTAAACCTTGTCTGCCGCAGTGATAACATCTCAGCTACCCATATGGATAAACTCATTGATCCAGTCATACATAATCGTTGGCTTCCGGATGCAATCAGGAAGATCTATGGGAAATTACTACACAGATGAGGCCAAGAATCGTAATTTTCGAACATAGCCATCATAAAGGTGGATAAAAATCTCAAGGAAACCGAAGAAATTATTCATTTTACCATTTGTTTCTAGTTTTTGTTCCGACCATGGTTATTTCAGCGAACCAGGTCAGAAATTATACTAGTGGACAAAATTAAGCGCAAATTCAGGATTTTACTCTCCAAAGGACCTATTTTCAATGTCCGTTTTGGACAAAACTTCCTGCGAAATTCAGTGAAACTCTTACATAGACCAAGAGCATTTGGGTTTGAACGTCTTACGCCAGGTGAAAAAAAAACGTAATGCAGACGAAGAAATCTGACATTTTCAGACCCGGATTACATTGATAAGTCATTGAAAACAAAAATTGGTAGTTTCATAGATAGTAGCTTCGATCATTTGCTCATGGTGTATGTAACTTATTAAATAGTTTCATATAAATTGAGCCTGGGACGCTGATGTCCACAACCAGACATCGTTGGTATCAAAGCAACAGGACCAGTGTACAGCCTGCAACAAGTCAACGGGGGAGAACAGGATCTTATGCGAAAAATGCAATCACTGGACTCATGTGGCATGCATGGGCTACTCAAAGGACGAATTCAAGTTCCTAGAGAAACCAAACGTGAGCTTCGTTTGCAACAGATGCTTGCAGAGCCCAATCCAGAGGTGTCGCACGAAATCGCCAAGTTGAAGGAGTGCGCGGAGAGCACGAAGATTATGGTCGAGCAAGTCCTTTCTGCCAGACATCAGCACGAGTCATCACCCGAAGCTATATATTCTTAAGTACTTAAATGTCAAAATGATTACGACCAACAGATAAGATTTAGTGGGATACCTGAATTCAAATGTTAGATACCGATAAACCTGACCGAGCAAAATTTTTGAACATGAACAAGAATTGTGTGACATTCGACCAGAATGGCCAAAATGCAATTTATGCAGGATTCGAATTTTGAGCAGTAAGCCTTCCGAGTTGATGATTTCGAAGGATTAGCGACGTTATTGGAACGTTTAGCCAAACGGTGAGGGCTAGAATATTCTAGTATTTTAAATTTTCAAAAATTCGAATGATGACGTCACATTTCTGAGAAATGCTGAAACGGCCATTTTAACAAAAAGCGAGTGAAAAACAGAACAACTTTATCTGTGATTGCGAACATGTAACATTCGTCTACTGCAGTCACACATGAGGCTTAAGAAAAATAGGCCCTATAACCACTGGCTCAAGGGTCAGGGACACTATCTCTTGTGTTTTTCTACCTCAAGAACGGTCGGAGCCAGTTCGGTTCGCTTGTGACATGAGACTACGACCCGTTACAGCTTAAAGGCTACTACTAAAATATCCCCCCACTCTAGAATTAGAAACGTCCCCATACTTAGGTCTCTAGATACCCAAAATACATGAACGCCGTTAAAAACCGGGTTGGAACAATCCGTTAAGTTACTTTTTATTAGACAGTGGAACTTTGATCCATTTCAGATGGATCAACCTAAAACTCGCCTTACCTCAACATAACAATTATAAAACACACTCTAGGAATTTAAATTAAGTAATCACATTGTAGCACGCTCAAGAACCAGGAAGTAAATAAGTCGGTAAACAACTCAAGAATTAATAAAGTAACTAATATGAGTTTAATGTTGGTCAGTTTTAACAACAAGAACAAGTTTTTACTCTAGACTGCAAGTTCTCGTGAACCATTGGGACACTCTAGCTGTCCACCTTTCCACCGAAGGTTCACTCTGGTCCAGTCAATAATAGTATTCCAATCGTAATAATCCAACTCGAGGGAATGCTCTCGTCTCTGTCACAGATGGGACAGCTCTACTCTAGGTTATTATTGCTTTCGAAATTGCGAATAGCAATTTCCCACCGATTTTTCTAGCAACTTTCCCGCGCTTGTTACTCAATTGTTCTGAAATTGTTCTGATCTCTTTTTCTGATTTTCAGTTCTCGCGAGAAAATCGTGCATGACAGGTTCCATTCGAAATTTTGAAAAATTAAATTTCACTCCAAAATCAAGTGTTTTTTGCTTCTCTCAAGGTCAAACTTCCAAATATGACCGACTGGCACATACTCCCCGGACTCGAGATCGATGTCCTCATCGCGCGCTGTCTTCTGTCAGTGAGTCCCAGAAAAACCGAGTGTTGCTCAAGATACAGTGCCAGTGGTCATTTACAGAAGTTTGCAGCAGATTTAAGCTTATCTACACCCCAAAATTCACAGCCATTTAAAATTTTCACGCTATTGCTAAACAGCAACCAAAATCTGCATACACCTGCACCCTTGAATTTTCGCTTTTCAAGCCAATCATTTTAAAATCTCTTTTGTCCTATTCAATCAGGAAATTGTCATGCAGCATTTCGATTTATATAATAAATATAGTATATTAGTAACAATATTTGCTTTGTTAAAATTTCTTTTTCGTGAATCCAAGTTTCACTCGGATCCACGCTCAAGCCCCCCTTCCCTCTCAAGACTCAAGATCCATCCGATTTGCCCATTCATCTCGTACTCTTCGCCTTGGAGGTACTGCATCCTGAAGTGCTAGATGCGGCGAACTGTCTCAACAGTTCCTCTTCATCATCGGAACTAATCACAATCTCCTCCCAAGCCTTCAGCTGTTCATAGGATCGCATCCATTCCCTCTGCTCCTGCAACCTCTTTGCTTGGTTGGGTAGTGCCTTCACCCTAGCTTCTCGGTTCAAGCAAAAGGAGTTGTGCAGGCTCAAGCTCACGTTCTTCGCCAGGTCTTCCTCTAGTATCGACTCCCTCGCTTTGGTATTGTCTCTAGACATCTTACCCACTCTCTTCCATCCCGTCGTGATCGCATTACGATGGGTTAGCAGGGGTCTCTTGAAAGCTTCCGGCCCAATCTCGGCCTGGAACTGTCGATACTCTTTTTGATGTTTTCTCATGTGATCTTTCGTTGTCATGTACAACCAAGACGTCAGTGTCGCCCGAAACCATGGAAAGTACCTCAAGCGACTCCATACGTACCTGACTTCCGTCGGTATGGCGAATACTTTGCACGCAGTCTCAAACAACTCGAGTCTCCTGCTGTAGTCTATCGCGTATATTGACTCAGCCGTTGGCGTCGTCGCCTCCCGATACTTCGTTATATTCTCTTCTATCCATCTCAGAGCTAACATCGTACTCACTACTAAGAGCGTCACCTTCTTGCGGTGATCCGGTAGTCCGATCGACCGAATCTCTTCCACATCCCATACCAGGCAAAGGTTCTTGTGATCTGGATACCACACCGTTTGTGCCAAACAGTGGCATGGGCATTCCCCATGAGAGATCTCAATGCTCCTGAGATTACGCTCCCCTGAGGCTTCCAAGAGAGGCTCAAGCTCCATCATTTTCTCGTGCATCGTGTCGTTGTCTTCCAGGTTCGGAGTACTTCCCACAGGTTTCCCGATCACGTTTTGTCTCTCGTGATCGCTTGTGTTTTCTCTTTCCAACTTCAGAAGATCTTCTCCCCAGATTTCGCTTAAGTCATCTCTCAATTCTTTTGGTACTGTCCCTTTGATTTTTCTCAACAACTTGTGCGAGTGATGCGACATCCGAGCCAACCTCACGCACTTGGGCACTGAGAAGGCCTTGTCCACCAGTATTCTCTGGCTGGACACTTCCACCATCGCCATGTGTAGCGGGTAGTGACTTCCGCACAAGTTGGCCATCATTGACCCTATCAGCGATTTCGCGTTCAATGGCAAGCCATAAGCTTCGCTCATGGGAAATCCCATTTCCGCCTCAAGACCAAGCTTCCAGCTCCGGATGTGTTTTTGAGTCACCTGCAACACCCCGGGCCATGATTCCACGCTCAACGCCGTCACTAAATGATGTTCAGACTCCAGTCTCTCCAGTGCCTGCAGACCACACATTCTCGAGAAGAATCCGAGAGCTGTCGCTATGTTCACCGTGGTTCTCGCGTAACATTCCGCTATTATTTGCACTTCACTTTTCTCCCTTTCTGTGATGTCTTCGAACCAAGTGATCAGGTCTTCTTTTTGAAACGACAGTATTCTGACGCATGACCGTCCATCGCAGATGTGCTCTCCTTTCCCACACGTCGAATCCAGACAGCTACCCGGCTCCAATTTCTTCACTGACCCGGGGTCGCTCGTCCTTTCGCTTGGCTCTTGCATCTGGGGCGTGATTAGCTTATGTAGCACACTCAACTTCGCCAGATCTTCATCTTCCGTTGGTGCTAACCTCACTCGCTCTGTGGTTTCCTCGATTAGACTTGCAAGGGGATGTGGACACCAGGAGGGTCTTAGTAGCTTCCATATCACTCCCAAGTTCGTGGTTAACAAGCCATTTCCACCGCCCATGTTCACTTCAACTCTCTTGTTTGAGCGCGGTATGCTTATCACCTCTGGTGTTTTCTCAAGAATCAGGCCCAGGCTCGGCCCCTCTTTCTCCACCGCGTCTATCTCCATTATTTTTTCTGTCCAAAACTTCAGTAGCTCCGCTACCTCATGGTTTCTGTGGGCTCCTCCAGCTTCCGAGTCTAAGAAGGGATTGTAGGCCATTCCCATTACTCCAGACACATGTTGGTATTCCCCCTTCTCACTGAGTCTCGAGTACTGTTCTGACGAGGCCAGGTTACGGTGAACATCATGTTCTTCCTCGAACTTCTTATTAGAGAACCTCCGTACCTCGTCCAGCTTTCGATGGTTCTCTAAGGATAGTCTGGAACCATCTTCTTTCTCTATTCCTGTACTCTGATATACGTTCAAGATGATCGTTCAGACTCTTCTC